CTAAGTGTCTTTTTGGTAGTACAAAACGTCAGGTTAATTTCAATATTGTAACTTTTTTAGTGCTTGTGAAAAAAATTGTTATACAAATTTTATGTACCCCCTTCAAGGGGCTGTATCTCAACAAGGGATGTTCCAATGAAATGTCTTTATATGAAAGATCCTACCTTTTTTTCGATGAGGAATCACCTCCTTAAATGTTTTCCACTTATTTAGTTACACCCTGTATAAGAATCTACATCTCAAGTTTGGTTTCGAGGAAAACAAACTAGGTATTACAAGCAACATTAGATTTGACCGAAATTCCTTTCTCAGCTGTACGTATAGTCAAAAACAAACCTTATGAACGCAAAACGCGATGTGATACAGGATTACGAAAACATCTAATGAAATATTACTGGAGTTTTTTCCCAACGCCAAATCGTTATTTTTAACACCTCGACACGTGTTTCGATTACCAAGTGATCATCTTCAAAGAGGAAGATTCAAACTAGAAATAACCGCGAAGCTAACCCTATTTATGCTATAAGTTTGTAGCACGCCGGTATTGCATCATGTAATGTGTTTATTTGTTTTAAATTGAAATAACTACAGTTGGAGACTTGAAATAATGAGCCTACGTCATTAATGTGTGTATCCGCGTACATGTTACGATTTTGGGTTAATTTCACAGAATAATTCAACACTTTGATTATTATTCTGTGAAATCCTGAAAGGGCGGAACCTCAGAAATATGAAATATAAACTTTCAAACGGTCTGAAAATCGAAGAAATTGCCGACAACTCAAGCTTGTCCAGCAAGCACTCTTCGATGTACTGAGTGCATCCGAATAAGACATCTCTCTGATCAGACGCAAACGCTGTCTTTCTATTTCACTTATTGAAGACCTAATTGTTGTCCGCCGCTTTGCCCACGTAGAATTTCGTTTGTCACGTTCGTGACAAACCATTTTAAACAAATAGTCACAAATTTTTTTCATTAATCCAAAACTTCAGGTTTCCCACTTCAAAACTGACGAAATTTAATACAATCATTGAACCCCTATTTTTCCCCCTTGAGGGTGGAAATTCCTGATTTCTTTTCTTGATGCTTCTTTACGCTATACAAAGAACTTACCTGCATAATTCAAGATTCTAAGTTCAGTAGCTTCGGCTGTACGTTAATATAAGAGCGGGCAACAGCTGATAATTCATATTTTTACTTTGAGAATACAGTAACTAAAAAAAATATGCCAACTGCACTAAGTAATGAATAGCTTTGAGAATCTAATTATGTTACCTATGAAGAAATTCGCAAAACTAACACAACCGTCAACGACATCTGCCCTCACGCTTCTTGCTGCGTTCGGGTCGCGTTTTTAGCGATGACGCTTCATTGCTTACACCTCTCCTCTACCCCTACCCATCGTGCCTCGTCGTCTTACAGTAGATGCGACGCGTAATGGATTACTGCGTTGCGACAAGTTATTCTTATCGCGAAAACTTTTAAACAATTCGTCCTAATTACTCAGTGTAAAATACAAAGTTTATCTTTATTGAATACTTGAAACGACAATTGAATCAATTTTCATAAGAATTTGACAGATATACTAAAATGTGCATTGTGCACATTTTAGTGCATTGTGCATTGTTCAGTATTTTGCATGCAGTGCTCTTCTTTAATGTCTCCCCCCTTTTATTTTTTGTTGCATGAGTACTTTGTTTTGAAGTGAAATTGACAGATGAAACTTTCAAGATGGCGACTGGGCGTCATCTGGGAAAAAAATTACATGTAAAGGAGAGTCTTGTGACACATCATTTTGAAGCTCCCGACGAATACTTCACAAACCTAGATTATAATGTCAATATCTTCCACTACAACAAAATGGCGAAACTTTTAATATTTACCTGAATACATTGACATTTAACTACATAATATGAGGTAATAAGCTTGAGGTCAGTTCAGAAGATGCTCGAAATGGTTGCCTTGAACTTCTTGACATATGAACAGCCTATCCGATATTTCACGCCGAACATTTTCGAACACAGTAACGTCAATATCTCTACAAATATTTATTATTCTCTGCCATACATCCAATATTGAAGCACCTTTTGCTTCAAATAGCCCCATGAAAAAAGTCCAAAGGTGTCAAATTTGGCGAGCGGTCTGGCCATTCTGTAGGACCTCGACGGTCAATCCAACGACCGGGAAAAGTAGTATCCAAATAGTTTCTTACTTGTCTGAAGTAATGAATTCATTAGGATTCGCTTCGACGATTTCAGTGATTAGAGGGTAGTAGACAGTGGTTTTCAGCATATTCAAATACAGTTCCCCTATTAAATTTTGATCAATAAATAGAGGTCGCACAATATGGTTTCCCAATATTACTCCCCAATCGTTAATTTTTTCCCTCAAGTTCCCTCAAATATTTGTTACAGATAGGACGATTCGGAATTATTGGATTTTTTGTCAAACTATCAAACAGTTCTCAATATAGTGACCGCTGTTACAATGAGAATGAATATACATTTTGCCAGTAGTGATTCAGTTTTTTTTGTAGGGTTACTCAAAGACTATAATCCATAAAAAGAATATTCACGTCAACACGTGAATCTTTGATTTTATTTCAATATTATACCGGAAATGCTTCAACCCGAAACTGTTTTGAACAAAACCTCCATTATTGTAAAAGAATTAAGAAGATACCATTTTGAACGAAAAAACGGTGGTTGAATGAAGTTTCGAATATTATTCCACTTACTATCCATATTAAATTCAAAATGTGGAATATAATGAATAACAGCTTGTGATTTCATGGTACGATTGCCTCAGATTATTTACTTGTAACCTGATACAAGACTACAATGCTTGTAACGACTTGTAACAATATATTTTCAATTAATAATCCTCGTGGCGTATATTTACCATCATTTATTTCATTCAAACCGTAACAATTCGACACGCTAGTAATTCACTAATGCTTTTCTTTCGCTCAACTCTAGCGGCACTCCAGTTAAAAAGGACTCTGCTAACGGCTTACAAACATACACTTCTCCTGTAGGGCGTTATGGAGCTCATAGACCGCCTTGCAGCATGGGACAGGTATAAAACATCTTCGTAACATCATTAACAAACATTTCAATTATTCTAACCTTGCAGATAATCCATAACCAAACATCGACGATAAACAAACGACAGGAACCAGCAGGGTAAGTTGTTTGGATTGAATATGAATATTTAAAGCAAATTAGAATTCCGTTTAGTTTAACTAACCTAATTAATAAATTGTATGAATACGAACAACAAAACTTGTCACATAAGTCACAGATTTTACCGTCATTAAAAAGTACCCAACTGAAATGTGTTAGACAGCGGAGTTCAAATTTGTAATAATTCATTTATGAACACCCACCAAATCAAAGGTACTATATTTGCACAGCAGAGTTCAGTCCATGCCTGTCACGAATTATCAAGGTAACCAAAGGTAACAATACCTTCTCCATAACCTGTCCATATTCTTATCTTCCTCTTCTACAGTCCACAACAACCAAATCCTTGCGTATCCCAAAGCGTCCCAAACATCCAACACCGGGAGCGAGCAATGATTGAGAACTATTATCCCAACCAGCAACATATCAACCAAGAAGGCCAACCTGATGGAAACGATCTACAAACATCTTTTCAGAATCAGATGAGGATTAGTAGTCAACAAAATATTCCCGGAAATTTTAACCAGATAAGCAATCTCACACCATCTGTGAATTATGTAAATATGCCCCAACCGTCTGTAGGTGGTTTAAGCCCTGCTCATCATTACCTTGACCCAAATATGAACAATCAGTACATGGTTCAAACAAACTCACCCCATACTCCGGTAACAACAAATACTCAGCAGTGTTATCAAAACTACAATGCAGAAAAGATGGCTCCTCAATATCTTCCACAAATCCCCACTGTGAATGAACGTATCAACATTCCACAAAGCTTGAGCACCAACCAGATACAAAATCTTCAAGGTACGATGAATGCCGATAATGGCCAACATGTCTATCAAGCCAGTGATCAACAAAACATTAACACAACTATGCAGCCGCCGCAATATTTGGAGAAACCATTGCAGAACGAATACCAAGCCACTCAGATTCAAAGGAATCAATCTTTTAACAATTCTGCTAACCCTGTGCTAGCCCAAAACATGTATCAACAACCTTTAAATAATATGCAGACTCAAATAGTTCATCAGCATCAACAAGACAGGATGATCCCCACGACTACGCAGAGTCAATTTGTTAACCAAATGCATCAAGATCAAAAGGCATATCAGAATTCAGAACTGCCTACCAGTACCCCACAGTTAGCTCCTCCACTTCAAACTGTACATAAAATTCCACCGCAAACTTATTTGCAGAAGCCTCAAATATCTAATAATCCCCAGCGTATGGTAGATGGATCAACTCCTGAGGCTCAAAATCATTATCAAGCGTCAATTCCATCACAGACCTATATTCCTCAAACACTTAATAATCAGCATCCAATGTTCTATCCACCAGTCCCTATGACTCAGAATCAGGGGGCAAATCCATCACAGACTCATATGCCTCAACCTCAGACGATCAATAATCAGCAGCTTGTGGATGGATCAGCGCCTATGGCTCAAAATCAGCAGGTCCTCAGTCAGAACCAAGTTCTACAGAATCCTGCAATGAGTTTCAACGAGAAGCAATTCCTTCAACCGCTACCACCAAATGTTACTAACAATTTGAATACTTCTGAGCAGCAAAGTATCGGTTATAACCAGCTCCAAAGAAATACTTCCGTACCCGACTACCAACAACTACAATCACCTTATCAACAAGTGTTGAATAACAACCAGCCTGCAGTATCTGCAATGAACTCAAATGATAATCGATTTCAGCAACAAGCCATGCCTCAAACAAACGAAGTAGTAAGCTCATCTCCGCTCAACGATAGGGTAATCAACCCTCCAAATATCACTCAAAGCATTCCCAACCAATTATACCAGATGAGACATCCCCCTCTACCTCTGGGTCAGTACCATCATCAAAGCGCGATGGATCTGCAACAAAAACAAGCTGGAATTCAGAAAATCAGGTATCCTTACAATGTCGGAAAGAATACAGCAGAAGTTGTTGATCAAAATGTTTGGAAACAAAACGACAAACAGGTTGGACAAGTTGAAGATCATATCCAGCAGAAGACGAATTCTACACCAGTAGATACTCAAAGGGCCGTGAGTCAGTCTTACTCAGTACCGAATGTTTATGGAAATTTTCAAAACACTCAGCAAAATGTTCGAAGAGGTGATTTGGTAAAACCAGTGGCCAATGGCCCCAATGCCCGCGAAGTTACTGAAGAAGGAGTTCTGAAGTATGGTTATCCTGTACAAATGACCAAGTGAGTGGTTGGATAGTCGTATATTTATTGAGTTATAACGTGAGTGGTAAACGAATTGATACAATGTAATAGGTTTGAAGTAGTTGTTGAAAATTCATAGATTTATTCTGATTTCAGACTCATTGAAAATCATAAGTTACATAAGTCAATATGTTGACTTGATGTAACTAAATTAGTTTCAAATTATTTTTTAGTTCGTGTTGCTATTAAAGCGTGTTTTTTTTTTTAATTTTTAACTATTATTTTTTATTGACTGTGAAATAATTCACTACGAAAAAGCATTCAAACTTCATTCATTCATATACTATCAACAAATCATTTTTGATAGTTTATTGGTGAATTGAAAGATAGCATGACTGAAAGAAAAATTACTGTCGAATTCATGACGAATTAAATATATTTTTGGAAGCAGTTAAAGGAAAGAAAAATATGCAGATTGGTATACACTGTGTCCAAGATAAGAATGAATGGATTAGAGAAAAGTAGCGCATTTATGTGTCTAATAATATGCCATTTAGAAAGTTATAATATTCCGAGTAGTTTCGGAGATAGAAAAACTGAAATTTGGGAATTTCGTATTTTCTCCTAGCTTTATTTTCGAAGGAAATGTAAAATAAATAGCATTTTGCCATATCCACTTTTCAAGGACTACGAGATAACGTAAGCAGAATTTTTCTACGACGTTTCGTCTTTTAGAAAACATCATCGACTTTGTATTTTTATATGGGCCGAAACTAAAGTATACCCTGAATACGACTCCATTTTTCATTGTGAATACAGCAACGTATCACACAATATAATTTCTTAACTATTTCTCGCGCAAAATGAAAAGTGATTACTTGACTTGCTTTTCTTCAATTTTAGATAGTACGTGCTGGAAAAAATGTCATATTTTGATACATGAAGTAAATTGATTTAGTCTTATTTATAATGAATTTTAACTTACCATTTGCTGGAATTTTTGCGTTGTTGAATACAAAGATGAGTCGTAATATCAACAAATTAGTTTGTAAAATGTAATTGTAATGTAATAACAAGGAGCTAATATGTATCAAAGGAAATAAACAGAAATAACAATTATTCAAATAACCCGCCAGTCTTTTCTAAAACAAGTAGGTTCGTCTCACAGACGAATTTAAAACTTGAGTTAACATATTCGGAACAATATTGTTAAAGGATTTAGTAACCAATCTTAGCAAATCTTCTTCATTTTGAAAATTATGACAGAACTCTCAATTCTTGCAGGCCAGAGGATGTATCACTATAAGTAGGTACCAATCCACTGTCTAGGAAGCGACGGTTCAAATAATCACAAACAATTCTAGCGTTATGTGCTGGAGCATCATCTTGTTGAAACCAGCAGCTGTGAGTGACCGCTAAAGGCAAATTATCTAGAGCGTCTTCAAAATCATTCACTAACTTGGCACAAAATAACATGACAACATATCAAATTTTTCAGTATTCGAAAAGCTGCCGTTTTCCATTTTTAACACCAATTAGGTAGGTAACGAGATGTAGATAAAAGTAGGACCGGTAATATGTCAAAAATTCTACCAAACAACAGTATTGTTATGACATCAGAACATTATGTGTAATTTTTTCCAGCGCGTACTATCTGAAATTGAAGAAAAGTAGGTTTTAGTAAGTGGTCACTTTTCATTTTGGGCAAGAAATGGTTATGAAACCATATTGCGTGATACGTTGCTGTTTTCACAATGAAAAACGGAGTCGTATACAGGGTATAGTTCAGTTTCAGCCCATATAAAAATACAAAGTTGATGATGTTTTCTAAAAGACGAAATGTCGCAGAAAAATTCTGATCACGTTTTCGTATAGTCCTTAAAAAGTGGCCATGGCAAAGTGCTATTTGTTTGACATTTCCTTTGAAAATTAAGCTAGGAGAAAATATAAACGAAATTCTCCGGTTTTTCGCGGATATCTCCAAAACTACTCGAATTATTGAAACTTTCTAAATGGTATATTATTGGGCACATAAATGCACTACTTTTCTCTAATTCAATCGACCCCGTATCACTTACCGTTTCCGATATCCCCATGCTGGTCATTCTTATCTTGGACACAGTGTATAGAACACTTCTTCCATCATTGTCTTTTTTGTTGATGTAAAAAGTATTTGTATGAATAAAAAAGGATGGTATGTTGCCTTCCATTATAGAAATTCAGCCTTGAAAATAGTTTTCAGATTATTCTCATCACATTGTCAACTTGAAAAATTGATTTTTCAGATCTCAAGTTTTCGCTCAGGCGAATATTATTCGCCAACCGGCCTCCTAAAAATCCTGATTCCAATTAATCCTCTTCCAGAATACCCTGAGTGCAGGTAAAGTACTGAACCTTGTTAATAATTGATTCTCGTGTTAATTCCCAAGCATATTTTGAATTGGAAAAAATACAAAATTTACGGGTTACGTTACTAGAATCATCGCCAAATTGGAATTGCAGATTTCTCCCGATAAATAAGCTATACTTTTCGAAAGAAATTTTCCCGAAAGATCCTCAGTTTCTAAAATGAAAATGAAATAAAAATCGATTTTCGACCTTGTTCTTTAAGTTTGTGCTTTTTTCAAAACAATTCATGATTATGTCTCCTTGTATTTTTCCCGCCACTGGCGGAATTGCTGAAATTTTAGTATAACAGTGCATCACAAGTAATCTCAAGTTGATTTTGGGTGAAAAATATATGATTTTTCACATCACATCACCTGTAATCACATCGAAATGGTAGATCTTTCGGAAAAATTGGTCTTGAGTGAACTCATATTGGGTAGGTGAATTTTATAACTAGTAAAAGACAGATAAAATGTTTCTTTTAATATCAACTGTTAGTAAATTTCTGCTGAATTGTTTTTTAGTCAATATTTCCCAATTCCCTATGTTTTTCAATTCATCTCAATCAGTTGCAGTTTCAGAGATAATGTCATCAGCTAAAGTATATATTTACTTATATTCGACAAACTGCATAATTTCTACGAATATTAAAAAATAACGGAACGGAAATAATTTCCTGGGTTACGTACTCTAAAACATGTGAAGATTACTTACTGCAATATTAAGTCTTACAAAATGCCAGTGAATGCAAAATTTTGAATTACCTAGTTTTAAGTCAAAGATAAAATAGTTTTTCAACCTCAGTTCACTGTATTTTTAATATACAGTGTCCATTTGAAACGAGCCACATTGAATAACTCTTGGCACAGTGATTTTCAGGAAAAATAAAAAAACACGACATCAATAGTATAAAGGGGAACACATTTTGACGTATTCACATTTGATATTACTTCCCCTATCGCACCCCCAGAGCAGGTCACCAATTTTTGGATCACCCTATATTGTTTTGCTTCATCAGTTGCTCCATGATGAGCAGATTCCAACAAAGTATAAAAGATATGGTCTGAAGAAAAGATATAGTTTGGGAGCTACAAGTTATTTGAGTTGAGTTGAATACGTTTTGAAACATTGATTTGCAGGAAAATTTAAAAAATAGATCAACAATTATACAGGAGGCCACTTTTCGAAATATTCGTTCTAGAGACAGATATGGAAGCAAAAAATCAGAAAAAGATTTTTTATTAATTTATGAATCAAAATCTAATGACTGGCAATGGGAAGAAAAAAATGTATATAGTAAATGTTTACCAACTTCCATACAATGGTACAAATGAGCTTCCATTGTCGCCCTCACATGGTTGAGAATCTCGGGAGTTATATCTCTGCAATGCCTCATGATATTCTCTTTCAAATCTTCTAACGTTGTTGATTCTATCTCATACACCTCAAATGAACCCAATGAAAGAAATCTACAAGAGTGAGATCCGGAGACCTTGGTGGCCATTCTGTAGGACCTCTTCTGCCAATCCAGCGACCCATAAATTGTCGCACTGGAGTTGCATAATGAGGAGGTGCACCATCCTGCTGAAAAACTATTTCGTTTTCGAATAAATTTATATCCTCCTCAATTGCCCTATTGATGCACGGTATCATTCGATTCTCCAACATATCCAAATACTTACCGTTGGTCAAATTATCATCGGTAAAAAAAGGTCCTATGATGTGGTCACCTAAAATTCCTGCCCAAATATTCAGTTTTTGAGGTCGTTGGGTATGAACTTGACGGTATAAATGAGGATTCGTATTACTACAATATCGATTCACCTCTTCATTCAAACTAAACGTACATTCATCCGAAAAACAAATTATGTACAAGAAATTCTAATGTAGGTTGGTTCGTTCAGTGAGACTTTCACAAAACTCGATACGTTTATCGAAATCATCTTCGTTCAATTCATGAACAAGTCTAATTGTATATGTATGAAATTTGTACTTATGAAAGAGTTAGATAAGTGTTTACAAGGTAAATAGACGTTCAAACTCATACTCTACTATAACAGAGTACCAAATAGTCTAAATTGAAAAATCCGAATGTTCTTCAACAGTTTTTATGATTTACGAGATATGTTCAGAAAATAAGGTGAATTTTCATTTTTTTTTCAAAAAACGTTCATTAATGCATCAATTTCAATTTTGCCCCCTTTGAAGTAGTCTCCCTCAGATATAATACACTGGTTACAGTGTTTTTCAATCCTTGATCTCTCTCAGCGATTCGATTTTTATCTCCCTAATCTTCGCAAAACGCCGTCCTTCCATGGATCTCTTCAATCTTGAAAACAGAAAAAGTCACAGGGGGGCAAATCTGGTGAATACGGTGGGTGAGGCATGATCACGGTATTGTTTTTTGTCAAATAATTGCGAACAAGCAATTATGAGTGGGCAGGTACAATACCGGATGTTTTCTTGTTATGCTTCTCGCAAGCGGCGCATGACTTCAAGATAATACTCTTTATTGACCGTACGACCATGTGGCAAGAACTCCTGATGCACAATAATTGAAGAAAACAGTGAGCGAAACGTTGACATTTGATCGAACCTGGCCTACTTTTCTGATCTTGGCTGTCCTGTACTCTTCCGTTGGGATGACTGGACTTCGGGTTCGATGTCATAACCATATACCTATGATTCGTCACTAGATATGACCCTTTTGGGCAAACTTGGATCGCCGTTGACAGTTTTTTTGGTCAAAATTCCATCTTGGAACGAACTTCACTGCCACACGCATCATGTCCAAAACGACGATTCTCCATAACAATTTTCTTCACTTTCTCAACATTTTCATCGGTTGTTGATGAGCTGGGGCGTCATTCACATCTCGACCATTTGTAAAAAACTTGTAAAACGTGTATGCCACTGTTTCAGCACTGTTTTTCAGTACTCGTTTCGATTTTTAACACGAAATCCGATGCAAAATCTTTGATCCACTTTTTTCGATAGCAGCATATGCTCAAGACAAGTCTACCAACATAAAAAATAATAAAATCGCTAAACGAATGTTCGTAGTCCGTGAAATTTGAACATTCACCTTATTTTTTGAACAGACATTCTATTTCCAATTCTTGTCATTTTATTTTACAACCATCCACATTGGAATCACATTTTTTCTTACTAATTTTTTTCTTCCCAACCATTGCTCTATTTTTATTTGTCTTTCCTTCTGTTTATTTCATTTTCATTTACTTTCGTTTTTTATTTTTTTTCATAGGGCACAAATAGCTTCCCAGTAAATACATGTATTCTTAGAAATAATGAAATATTCCAGTAATGTTCAGAATGACGTCGATCCAAATCCAGTCAAATTAGAACGTCCTCGATCTCTTACGATTCAACCTACTGAAGAACCAGCTGAAGAAAATGTTTCAATTGTACCAGAAACTAAAGCCTCGGATGACGAAATTGACATGGGAAAAATAGATTTGGGAGATGATAAAATACAGGAAACTACCAAGATAGCTCCAGAAGTTCTCCCTGGTTCCGAAGAAGACCTTCCATCAGCCAGAAAAACTCCTGGTCATTTGACAGATCAAGGGTACTTCGATTTGAAATTCTATCATAACAAGCTTTGGTAAATTATATGAATTAGTCTAAAATATATAGTTATTGTACATCGCATAATTAAAATACATGTATATTTATGATTGTATATTTTCAGCTGAGCATAAATAATATAATGTACTCGTAACTGGGAACCTGAACATTGATGTGGTACAAGTCACAAAATTTACACTCCAGACATTTACTTCAACAACTGTAGTCTGAAGAACGTTCAGACACTTCCATAGAATACTTTCCATAAATTACACTAGTCAACAAATTAGAAAAAAAATTGCGACTAATATTATAATGGTTATACATGAGAGTTTAAAGCATCCTGACTGCGACTTCAACATCAAAAATTTTCCATCACGTAAAGCTTTTGAGTTATAGTTACTTTTATTTTATACAAAAATGTTCACATATTATAGGGAAATACCTATAAGATCAAAACAAGAAAAAAATAATATATTTTGAGGGTAACAGACTTTATTTACAATACACATGAAAAAACATTCAAATGAAGTATTTTGTGCATAACCTTTTTGCAAATGTTGACTTTCATTGATTTGTTTCATCGTTTTACCTCATAAAGAAGCAACAATAATCCACCAGCATTGCTGCATCCCATCTGCCTTGGTAACGTTGCTCCATTGTCAGTTTGTCTTGGTGGAACCTTTTCTCTTGTACGTCACTGACAGCACCCAAATTTTCTGGAAAAAAATTCTAATGGGAGTGCAAGAAATGGATTTTGAGAGACATGGGTTATCCCATTCTGCAGTAGTTTTCAAGTAGTTCCTCTACAAGTGTGTTCTACTTTCTTGTACCCTAAAAACTCCGAAACAATTATTTTGAAAGAACTCCACGCAGCTAATTCAACATTACTTAATTTTTGATCAAACTGTTGATCAATCAGTAGTTTTCTAATTTGTGGTTCAACAAATATACCTTCCTTAAGCTTTGCATCACTTAATTTTGAAAAAACGTGTTTAAGATATTTGAACGCATCACCTTCTTTGTCTAATGCCTTTACAAAATTCTTCATTAGCCCCAGATTAATGTGTAATGGAGGTAACAAAACGTTTTTGTGTTGCCAAAGACAAGGAAAACATTAAAACTTCGAAAATCCGCCCTGAAGACCTAGTAATAGTCCTATGACTTTTAGGTCACCACATATTTACCACTTAAACGTATTATAACTTATTGCATTTAAAATAAGTGACATACTTTCGTGTGTTTCCTTCATAGCACCTGCATGTGCAAGAGGAATAGAGGGTCTTTTGTTACCATTACGAGGCAGAACGACTTTTAAACGAATCTACAGTGTCATTTCCAAAGTATGCACCATATGGGAAACTTATTTATAAAGGGTTTTTCGACAAAATGTTATTCTTGATAAAAGTTTGTGCATCCCCTAAAACTAAACATGCACCAACAAAATATACTACAACATACGTAATATACGAGGAACAGTCAAATATTTAATTTTGAGACAAGAGTAAAGTACCTACCCTTATTTTGTAAAATCGCGGGAAATGTTATTTAGAAAAGTTGTTTAGCATTAAAAAATAAATCTAGGTTTGAAGTCATGGTTAAGTGAAGTTCTATTTTTTTTACTATTTTTTTTTTAATGAGGACTACCAAAAAAATGCTAAAACGATAAATAGGCAGTATCTTGTATACGACGGTTTATTTCAAAAACCTGTGATATTACGAATTGCACAACTTTGGTGTTAACCACGGTCAATTTTTTTGAAGGGCAAAATAATTTTCAAAGTTTTTGGTGCGAAGTCATTTTAATTTTTTGTTAACACTGAAAAGTACTCAAAATTATACAGTATTATAACGAGAACTTAATATTCAATAATATCAAATCACAAAACATCAAAATAAAATAGGTATTTCGCAACAAACTCATTGATTTTCTGGAGATTTTCTTGTCAATTTTTCAAAATGGGAGTACTTTACTCTTGTCTCAAAATCAAATATTTGAAGGCTCCCTGTATATTACGTGTGTTTTACTGTATTTCGTTAGTGCATGTTTAGTTTCAGGGGATGCACAAACTTTTATCAAGAATAACTTTTTGTTGAAAAACCCTTTATAAATAAGTATCCCATAGGTGCATACTTTGGGGATGACACTGTATAAATAAACTGCATTCGTCTGGGTTATGTGCAAATCCTAATTTTCCATCACACCATTTGTATATACACAAACACACATTTTATCCTGCATGGAAAAAAACGAGGATAGCTCATGGTTACGGTTCCAAAATATTGTAACTTTGGTTTTAGGGGCTAGTAAATTTCATTGTTGTAATCTAGACCCAAATAGTTCAGCATTCTCTTTGGACAAGTGGAGGAAAAGGGGAAAAGCAAATTTGTAATGTCGTGTTCATTAAATTTTTGTGAAAAATATCATAACTCAAAAATCTTACGTGTTAGTAAATTTTTACTTCCATTTTTGCATTTAGAGACCAAAAATGGCATTACAGTCGTAAATTGACTGTAAACTAGTGTTATCACTTAGAACAGGATAAGGATAGTATGCATGAGTTTTCATTCGAAATTATACGCATGAGAAATTTTTTCGGCATTACGTTTTTTCAAAAAAACTCTCCTGGAATCATCAGCCTATACCGAATGACTTTTTTTAAATTGATCTTAGGCAGTACTTGAACGTCTTACAGAAAGTATAATTATTGAAATAAATGTTGGAGCAACTGACCAGAATAATAGTAGATTTGAACTACAATGCCAGTGAAAGAAATTATTAATATTGTTGTGGAGCTTAATTGATAAAATGTAGGGAACATATCTATTAATGTTAACAGCTCATTCTANTTTATTTCTGACCGGGATATTATAAGCTTATATCGTCATAGTTACGCTATCAATAAAGAGGGTCATAACTCCCTTGGGACATTATAGATTTTATAATTCCCTCTACCTTTCACAAGTAAAAATAAATAGAAATGAAAACTGAACCATATTTTATTTATTCACGTCATTGCAAATAATAAATGTACAATTTTGAAATTACCTTATGCAATAAATGAATATCATTAGGAGCGTCCTTTAGGAATCTGATAACATCTTTAGGAGATAAAACAGCAGACTTTTTCGGCTTATGAACAAAATTTTATTGAAATCGGTCAGAAATAAAATTATCTATGTACCACGGGAATTAATGAGCCTTAATAACCTCAGGCAATTGCTCAGAAATACAACTAGATTTGCCAAGCTGTTCACTTATGCTGTTCCCTACTGCAAAGTGTTGCCTATCCTATATTTGCCATTTGCATTTTTGTGCTCATAAATACTCTCCTTTTCATTGAAAGAGATTCGTTTATATTGGTAAAATTTGCATAGTTGATGTCTTGAATATGAATCAGTTGAAACGTTGCGCTTTCTAATTCAATCGAAAAGCATATCTTGAAGAGGTATAATGCATTTATTTCTTTCGGAAATATAAATTATTTCATAACAGATCAAAATGGCAGATTTGTGCAAGTAACATATTACAATCTCTAAACAATCATCCCTCCCACAACTCCTACCCAGTATAGTGGAAAACAACTACTTCCCTGGCTAATAGCATGATGGACATTGAATTATGTCTGTCAGACAGTTATGCAACTTACCTCCCAAAGGATAGTCTCGCAGATGCTTTTTGTTCATCCAGTATCAGTAGTAATTGAGTAGATCACCTGCATACTGGTTTTGAGGTGTAATCTCTCATCGGTGCAGAAAAGATCCAAGATTTCATTTCGAAATATTAATTTTCTTATAAGTCTGAGTCTCTTCTCGATACAGTCATCAGACTTATATTGATAACAGTTTGTTATTGAAGAGGAATGAAGATAAGATTTTTCAGTATTTAAAATATAATCGAAATGATAAATATAGTTGTAGCAAAAGCAGTTGATGTGGCTAGACTGTGTGAACAATAAATTTGGTCATATTTATGATACACACGAAATGAGTATAATAATGGGGTGTTCTTCCTTCACACTCGGGGGTGTTGGAACTAGTAAACCTTCTCCATGAAGAACCGGCCTTCTTGCAGAAGGAATATCCGGATATACAATTTTGTGTTTGCTCTTTCTTGAAAAACCAGACACGTTTGTCATGCAGAAGTAACAGCCGTTGTAATGATTTGTTGTTTCTCGCCAAACCATTGGAACTGCAAAAGGCATAAAAGAGCGTTTGCCATTTAACCAGTTACTTAGATTTGCTGCATAGGTTTGGCAACATACGTAAGGAGCCCAATCCCGATCTTGATCACCAACAACACATCCAAAATATTTATGGTAAGTTACTTGGGTCATTTAATTAATTGGCTGTTTCTGTGATTTAGGAGTAAACCGACCACGTAAATGGGAAAAACTATCTGCGGGATTAACGCAGCCAAGTTTCTGTACTTTGGACATTTTTGTATTCAAATATTGTTCAAATATGTGATACAACGTTTACAGGAGTCAACTTATTTTATTCACAAAGATAACACTAATATAATACTCTTAATATTCGCGTGTTTGCTCACCTCGCTTCTAATACTAACTTTCCACTACTCGCGTTAAACCAATATTGATGATCCAATTGTCAACCTGCTACTTTTATAGCGGTTCCATATTTCTGGTATTTTCTGGAAACTTCGAGTATCGGTAGTTCGAGAAACGGCGTTACAAGTCTCATATACAGCGGCAACAGATTCGAATACTGGGCAGAGCCGCTGTGTTGCCAGCTTTTAAACAATTTCCTCAATTTAGGGAAAAAACAAATTTGGAGT